TCCGTCTAGATCCGCTGAAGGATCTTCAACTCAGCTGAGGGTGCAGCTGATATAATTGTTGAAGGGAGGAAAATATGAGTGTGATATGTTCGTCCCTTAGGGGAAGCGGAGAAAGCAAATATCCACTGGTCAACTCTAGGGGGAATGCGCAAAGCGCGTGATAAGGCGAAAGCGCGGGAACAAAGGCGCTATAGGCGCGCGAAGCGCGGGAAAGTCGCGCATCGAAAAGCGGAACTGGGTGAAAGCGGTATGCGAGCGATAGTGAGATGTTAAGACGTGTACTGAGATGCTGATAAGACAACTGATGCGGATATGGCCACTAGAGCTAACTGCTACTAGGGCTTGCGATGATTTATTCAAAACATAATAAAAACTCGGAGATGGTGACTGTCTATGATGATGGTGGTCCGTGGTAATGTGTGTTGTGTTCAGTAAAAAATGTGTCATGAAAAATGTGTACCAAGTGAAAATAAACATGGTACGATGTTGAAATAAATGATAAATGGAGAAATGCATACCTGGGAACTTGGTTGGACATGGGAAAACACAGTGGGAAGTCAGGCGCCCTATAGCGCTTAGGCGCGGGAAAGTTCGCCTAAAGCGCGCGCAAGTCGCGGAAGTGTCGCCTATGTCGCGGAAGTGTCGCCTATGTCGCGTGCGTCGCGCGAACGTCGCGTTTATCGCGCAAGTGTCGCGTTGCATGCATATTACTGTAGACTCGACCTATGTTGCAATATATGCCATTGTGAGGCTACTCAGGATCGAGTCTCTACACCGCACTTTCCCTCTTATCAGTCCCAGTATCCGTCTTCTACACTTGTGCACCACTTGCAATACCTTCCCATGCTCTGCGCACGCTTTCTCGCGCTTTCACCACCATTCACCAGGGTTGTTCAGCATCATTCTGTGGATCCTTGCTTTCCTTGCTTCCCCTTTAGGGTCGAACGTTCTTGCATTCTGCGAGTATAGCAGCTAGGCAGAGCTGAGACTCACTTATACTGGCTGAGCACTTTTCTTATATGTGCCTGCCAGGTTGTGATACCCACACCGGTACAGACGTCTAGTGGAGGACTGGAATGGAGTTATAGAAGATATCCGGAAGATCGAGGGCTTCTCTCACTTCCTACTTCCCCCACTGTTCTCTGATCTCCAAGATGCAGCTTGTGATGGGCCTATCATCGTGCTCATCGCAAGCAAGTTATCTTGCCATGCCATTATCATCCTGCACAAGCAACCTCCGACTAGCATTCAACTCCCTACCAATCTTGAGAAACTCCAGACATTGGTGGTCACACTCCAATGCACTAGTGGAGAAGCACTGAGAAAAGCCTTGATGGAGTTGTGGGACGACGTTGTCCGCCTGGTGGTCGAAAATCTGAGTGGATTTGCACGACCAGGTTCCCGAATATGGTGGTGCTCGACGTCTGTCTTCAATTTCTTGCCGTTGCACGCTGCTGGCACGTACAGGCCAGGTGAACGATTGCTTTCGCAGTTATATATCTCTTCATACACGCCATCCCTTACCGCGTTGATGAGGGCTCGCAGAAATCATGACAGGTCGCTGTCGGTGTCATTCGCTGCCATTGGCCAGAATCGCCCAGCTGGTGCTTTATTCACTTTGGATGACGTGGAGCCTGAGCTGGAATTAGTGCAGAGTCTTTTACCCCCCTCCTCCAACTGTTTCCTTCACCAAGATAACAAGTGTTGATGCCACAAAATCGAGAGCGCTGTGCGCATTGCATGACAATACTTGGCTCCATCTCTCATGTCACGGAACACAGAAATTGGACGAACCCTTCAATTCGGCCTTCCTCATGCGCGACCAACCGCTTTCACTCCTCGATATTACCCAAATGGATCTGTCTCGGCATCAATTTGCATTTCTCTCTGCCTGTGAGACCGCAGTCGGTGCCGTTAGTATGCCCAACGAAGTGATACACCTAGCGGCTGGCCTGCAGTTCGCTGGGGTTAAGAGCGTCGTTGAGACAGTATGGGAGGTCAATGATAGTACTGTGCAGCGGTTGGTCGAGGCATTCTACAAAAACTTTTGCGGGGATGGCAAAATGAATCCCAAACGAGCTGCACGAGCGCTGCACAGAGCGGTCCAGTCGTTGGCCAGCGACAAGGACATGCCCTTAGACCAGCGCATAGTGTTCATGCACATTGGCATATGAGCAATTTCGTGCGTACTCCCAGCTTGTTGATTAATGCGTTAATCTGACGACTTCGCGTGTAGTATCCAGCCATGGCTACATGCAACCTGTTGCCAAGGACTTGATTTTCGATAGTTCAGACTTTGAAACTGTATACCTCCACAATATGTACACCTATTTTCGACTTACGATTTGTATTTTCCAGTTTGTTGCCTCAGAGCCAAAGGTTGCCGCTCCTAAGGTACACTGGTGCTTTGGTGGGTTAGGATGACTTTCAAAATTGTACCTTTGGTTTCAACGCGGTTCTGGTATATCATCTCATAATGGCAAGACACAACTACGATGGACATGATGGTCTGAATTCCGCGGTTTACAATTGATCTGCAGCATCAAAAGCATCTGACTACTGTTGGCATACTGTATAGTATTTTCGTGCACCTGAGTGGACCTGTCAGTAATCCATCGAAGAAACGAACTGTTTTATTGCAGTAAGGGCATTGTTGAATATACTCCCAGCTATCGTGCAGCCGAAGATGTAGTGCTTATCAAAAGCTTGGCCCATAAATGAATGCAGATCAATGATCGATCGTTCTCGCTATTCAGAAAGAATTGTGTAAAGCAGAAGGTCTGATTGACGAAGAAAAACAGATAAATGATCTATGCATTGTACGGTCAGATGCCTTCCTGCAATATTGTTTCACAAAAAATAAAAAGATGAATGATCTATGCGTCGTGAATCCTCAAATTATAGTGTACATGAACTCTGCTTAGAGGAAGAGGGTGAAGCAACCTGCAACAGAGGCAAGAAGAGTAAGCGATAAAGCGATGTCATTGATAGGAGAAGCAGATTCAGAGTTTGTCCTGCCGCTGGTCGAGTTTCCACTCCCACTGGAGCTCACGGAGGTACTAGTAGGCAGGGGCACCAAGCCAGTCACTTGTACTGGGTTCGGGTTGGAATATCCGGTTGAAGAGCTCAACCCACTGGCAAGCTGGGCGAATCCAATGGCAGCGGGGCTAGCACGGAAGACAGAGTACACATTCTTCAGGAAGGTGTCATCGACAATCCAAGCAGGAACACTGCCAATCCCAATATCGAAGATACCGCCAGCACACATCTGAGAAGAGGCGTTCACATTGCTGAACATGGTGTCATTGAGGGTACCGAGGTTCATGTCCAGGGGACTGATCGCCCAGTTTTTTACCGCCGAAGGAGATATAAACTGTGACATTAGTGTCACAAGCTAGAATTAGACGAGTCTTCTGCCTTGCGCAGAGATACTGACAGAATGCACATAAACCTTGCCAATCTCTGGTAAACTCTGTGGAGCCAGGCACTTGGGCCCATATACTTGCGGCAATGGGTGTGGGTGCCCCGATGAGGGAAGTCCCTGTGTCGATGGCAGCAAGACCACTAAGGGGGTCAATGGCAATCGTCTTGTCTTGTACAATGACCGCTGCAAATTTCACTCAGTACGCTGATAACATGACAGAATGACAGTGCTGACAGCTAACAGTGAGCAACCAATACGATGACGGACCAGTCAGGTTCAGGTACTCAATAGAGCCATTGTACAAACTCGAATTTGTTCCTCCGAGAGTGAGCACACCGCCTGGAGCAGTACTAATCTGATTGGCTTGGTTGACGTAGCATTCAAGGTAGAAAGAGAACAAGGGTTCAGCGAGATCATTGGCATTATAGAGTGCTTCCCAAACGGGGGTAGTCTGGAGGGCAGAAATTGAGGCAAACCTGAGACCCATGATACGGAAGAGTCTATCGTCAATCAATCCAGAGGTAATGCTAGTAACATCGACTATGGTCAATATAAGGTTAAATCTAAATCAACCCAAATCACCGAGATAGACATACAGAGTTCCTGAGACATTTCGAAGGACCCGAAGGTGACACTATCTTTGGCAACAATGTCTTGCGCCGATCCTAAGCCATAATCAATATCCAGCTGGGAGGAGGTAGCCTTGTATGTCGACGACTTTGATAGGTTAAATTCTGGTATATCCAATCCACAAGAGGTGCATGAAGTTGTTGCAAACCCAAAGGTCGGAAGAGCCAGCATCGAGGACAAGATTGAGGTTTTGTGGTCTTCACTGAACGAAAGTATACGAACATTGCTACATTTCGAACTTGGAACTTACGGAGTTCCAATGCTTACAACGCCTGAGTACCTGGAATCATTTTCCTGATACAATTATGATCAATTCCGTGAGCTATGCGAAGAATCGAGCTGCGAACCTTGTCCGTGATGGGAATTGCAGCAGTGATAGCTCGCTTCGAATTTGTGCTCTTCACATTCGTTTCCTGATAACCATACTCTTTTCGCAATGCTTCGATGATTTTTGGTAAGTTCGCAACCCGGCTGGAATGACTTCTTCACATGATTGGGGCATGAGCACCTCCATCTTGTCGGCGAGCAGCGAGAGTGAATGGAAGGAGTGCGATGGCTACAAGGGGAGAGAAATCGTCAGGAGATATGTGGAGAGGAAGACAGAAAGGAAATAAAAAGGAGACAGTAGCGATCTGTGGCGCCAAAAGGAAACAAAAATCTGTCCAGTACCTTGGTCCTGACCAATGGCCAACACCAATAGTTAGTGTTAGCAAAGCGAGTGATGTGCAAGTACATAAATCTGAAGCTCCAGTTCGAGTCAGCTTGTTCAGAAAGGGCGGGCTGTCACCTGTGAGATCCTGTCTGAATTCGAAACCTAACCCAACTGGTGCTTGACTCATGGCAAGATCTGGTCTTCGCTATGGAGGTCCTTGTCTCAGTCCTTCACATGCACTGCTTCGGTCTATCCAGACTAACTGCTTCAACCTATTGGATATTCTCTGCACATCAGCGTGTAACCCAAAAATGATCCAAAAGTACATAACTCGTAAGGGACATCTTGTGTCCCACTACCAAATGAGTGTGGCATGCCTAGCAAAAGTTAAGCAAGTTTGATTGATGCCACGGAATAGATCTATGACAGTCCACTGACCTAATCGATGCGGAGTATTTGGGAAATCATTCACAACGAAGGAATTGAGATGCTCGGATAATGAGCGTACATTAGCAGAGAAAGCGAACGTTAGAATTAGACTTCTTCACATTCCTCTTTGACGGTAGTTCCACCATCATCCAGTTGAGCAATCGCAAAATATAGATCACAACCCATCATCAGCGAAATTTCGAACCGTGTGCTTGTACAATCTTTATGCTGCGATGCAGCCTCATCTGCCGTTTGACACGTATTTTCGTTGGCATTAAACTTTTTGCAAATCATGAAGTTTCGCTATCGCCCAAAGCACTCCGTCTGCACCATCGAAGTTGTTGTTTTGAAATTCCCCATCTTCAGAACACAGTAGGGATGTAAACAACCAGGTCTGAAAGTCCAGTTTGTGGGCTGCCATGAAGTCTCTGACCAATTCAGGAGTGCACGAGTAAGAACGTTAGAAATTTGATGCGACAGAACAGCCTTACAATGTTTTCACAATTGACTGTCGCGCAGCAAGACTCATTCAAGAATTATGACCGTGTATTGCAATCATCAACCTGCGAGACATGGAGCGAAACAGGACAAATTCCAGTCTATTCAGATTAACATGGAATAAACGGTGATTTCAACCCACAACGATGACGACAAGTCCCCCCCACTGAGAGATACAAACAAGGGCCTTGACTTGTTTGTGGTGTGCACCGTGGATGTGAGACTTGTCGAACGTCGTTGGATATAATCGTTTAATGTCGCATGCTGAAATTGGTGAGATGGAAAAGAAAACAGCTTGCATCGACAGAGAGAGAGTATGCGGTGTCATATTGACTTCAAACAACACTTCTTGTGAGGGTATGTATCAGGAAAATATAGAGTGGAGAATTTGTCAAGAATTTGTGGAAAACCGTGGAGCTGTATAGTTGCTGATTAAGCTATCTCACGGCTATCCTCAATTTCAAATCGGTAATGGGTAGTTTAAAACTCTAAAGCAACCTCATCAGAATCTGCCACATTGTGGTCGAGGACCCGCCGCCCAACTGATGACGGAAATTAATCAATTTAATATTTTGAAACCGCTTTACCGGTGTGGGTATCACAACCTGGCAGGCACATATAAGAAAAGTGCTCAGCCAGTATAAGTGAGTCTCAGCTCTGCCTAGCTGCTATACTCGCAGAATGCAAGAACGTTCGACCCTAAAGGGGAAGCAAGGAAAGCAAGGATCCACAGAATGATGCTGAACAACCCTGGTGAATGGCAGTGAAATGCGCTGAAGGCGCGCGCGGGAAAGCGAAGTGCGAAGGTGCGCGGAGCGCGGGAAGGTAGTGCAAGCGGTGCACAAGTGTAGAAGATGGATACTGAGACTGATAAGAGGAAAAGCGCGGATCTAGACGGATACTGACAGTGCCACTAGCTATAGACTGATGCTAGGGCCTCAAGATGATGATGGATACATGCATTGCATGGAACTAACTGGTGATAGATACTGAGTGGTAGGAAGGTGGTGGTATGAAGCTGGGTGTGTAAGTGGGGTGTAAAACGAACATGAGTGTATGTAAGTTCTACCTAAGCGCTCTCCCAGGGCTCGGAGCCAAATAGGGAGCGCTCTAAGTATGTAAATGAGGTAAGGTGATGTAAAGTAAGGGTGCATAACTAAATGGGAAGTGTAATATGCTAAATATGGTCAGATAACGAAAAGGGACATACCGAGGGACTGGTTGGACGATGGATGAATGCTCCTGGATGCTGTGCGACATAGTGCGCTTAAGTGCGAGAAAGTGCACAAGGCGCGCACGCGGGAATACTGCGCGTTGTGCGGGAAAGTGTCGCGCCTATGGCGCGTTCCGTGGGAAAGTGGTGCGCTCTATAGGGAAGTCATAGTGGATGATGGTGCGAGTTGTGCCATGAAGGCCAGTTGTCAGAATTTGTAAAATGAGCCCATATGAGCCCACAGAAATGCGAGTCTCTACACCGGTAAATGCAGAATATTTCGATCTTGGAATATCCGGCCCATCCGACTCGTCCGACTCCAAATAAACAAAGCGCAAACAAAGCGCAAACAAAGTGTACACAATATAATCGAACCTCGGTGCCTTGAAGCTTCTTTCTTCTTTCTTCTTACCCCACAACATCCTGCTGACTTACATAAGGTATGTTCTCCGCATTACAACCACAGGTGAGATTTTATTGAGTCGTTTATCCCAGCGGGCTGACCTAGATCAATTTTGCAGCCTATTTTGTACCTTTTAATATATATCTTACAATGTCCAGGTCTCACCATGTCAGACATACCACCAAACGCACCATTCCCTAAGCCAGACTACACTCCGTTGTGCTCTAATGGTCACAGCGAACTCCAGTGGAGAGTTGTTGCATCCAATGCACACGGAAACCGAGGCCGTTGGATGGTATCAGTACGTATAGCTATCAATAACCATTGATGACCAGCACTTATACTCCCCAGTGTCCGTTTATTGGACCTAATGGCACCATGTGCTCACACTTCCAGTGGGGTTCTCGTAGTCTGTCGTCGTCTCCAAACCCATCGATACCACCAGCAATGCCACCACCTCCCCCACCTATGCTACCAGTGCCTGTGACGTGCACTGAGTCCCAGTGTGCATCAACACGCGTACATCCTCTATGTACCAACACAATGTGCCGAAAACACTGTTGGGTCATTGGGGGATGTGACGCCAAGGGCCACTCTGTTAGTGGACCTGGACCTGTGCAGGCTACCCTCGTACCTGCACAGCCTCCTTCACCTGTAATCAATCCGGTCTTAATGCAAGCTTCGCTCCCGGGCGCCAGTACAACGACACCGTGGTCATCTAATGCATCCTCCTTGTTTTTGTCATCTGTACCATCCCACTCCACATCTACTACACCTGCCTCCAGCGCTTCTGAGTCTGCAGTTTCTCTACACCCTACTACCACCATTCCTGCTACCAGCAGGAGTAAAGGCAAACAACGTGCCATGGCCCCGGCACAGGAAGGTGATTTCTATGCCAATCCAAGATATCCTTCCCAATTGCCGCCCGTTTTCACCAACGCGTACGCCATGCAAGAAGAGGAATGCCTTCGCAAACACCAAGCAGAAATCCTCAAACACGAACTCGCTGTCACTGCCAAGAATACAGTTATGGTGTTTGGTTGGGCTGCAGTACGTACTTTATTGTGGTGATGAGTTTACACTTACACGTCTGTCAGGCTGATGTGTCGCCAACAATTTGCGAGTTCCAGAGTGGCTTTGTCCTACCACGTGTGAGGGTGACGGATGAATGGCTTCGGAACCTTGGCCTCTCCGCACATATTGCAGTAACATATCTCCGTATTATACGAGTGAACGGACGTGCATAATATCCCGTATGATACGGGCCAGCGGACCATGGGCCAAAGGTAGATATATCCTCGACTGTGACGGATGGGCCGGGAGTGTTATTATTCCCGATGGAGACGGGTTGGCCCAGGTGGGGAATATGTAAAGTAGATGGGTGGGCCGATGGACATGAATTTTCAATAGACGGATCGGCCGAGGTAGTTGGATATTATGTAGATGGGTGTACCAAGGTAGATATGTATCAAATAGCCGGGTATATCAAGGGTGCTTGTTATCACATAGACAGGTGGGCCCAGATATATATCATATTAGACAGGTGGGCCGACGAATTAATATTATTTTGTAGACGGGTGGGCCGACGTATTGGTATTATTTTGTAGACGAGTGGGCCGAGGGAGCGGTGAAAGATTTATTATATACGGGTGGGCCAATGGTAGACATATATTGCATAGACGGGTAGGCCGACGTAGGGGTATATAATATAAACGGGTGGGCCCAGGAGAATGATAATTGTAGACATGATGGAGCTCAGCTAGTTGTATATCATGGAGGTAATAATTCAAAGTCATCTAATGATGTAGTATGGCATGGAGCCTTGCAAAGGGGTGAAGTGGAAACTCGAGCGAAGTGTACTGAGTTCCGAGACCCAGGTCTCGACAAATGAATATGTGATGTCCAGCACACTTCCAATTGTCTGGTATTTCATTGAGCAATATATGATAATAGATCATTGAAAGCCAACATCATCCAAGCATACCAAATGCCAAATGCCAAGTTCCAACTACCGAAAATCAAGTGAAGTGTACCAATATCCGAGCCCTGACTATCAAATCCCGACAATCGACCATTGAGTCCCGACTACCGAGTCTTGAAACCCGAGTCCCAAAGCCCAAGATTTGAGTCCTGAAACCCAATGCCCGACCATTGAATCCCAACAATCGAGTATCAAGTCCCGACCAACGAGTCCCAAATATTGAGTCCCGACCATCAAGACCCAACACCCGACACCCGACACCCGACAACCGACAACCGACAACCGACACCCGACACCCGAGATTCAAGACTCAAGTTCCGACTATGGAGTCCCGGATATCAAAAATCAAGTGAAGTGTACTGAGATCCGAGTCCAACCTGAAGGATTCCTTAGGCTGGACTTCCAAACCTTTGGATTTGTCCTTCCATCTCTATCCAAGCTTAAGGATTGATTCCTTAAGCTGGACCTTTGCCTTTCTGGCACTTCCTGTCTTTCCAAGACTTATGTCTACTTCCTGTTATCTCCGACTCCACCTAAGTGTAGCCTACCTCTGTTTGCTTCTATTCCAGACCTTGTCCATGGTAGCCTTTATTCTCCTGTCCTATAATCCTGTCCACTCCTGCTGACCTCCAGACCTTTGGATCTCTGGACCTTTGGATCTCCGGACATCTTACCCTTCGGATATCAAAACCTTCGGACATTGTAACCTTCGGACATCATGACCTTCAGACATCATGACCTTTGGACATCTTAACCTTTGGACATCTGAACATTCAGATGGCGCAACCTTCAGACATCCTGTCCTCTGGACCACTCCTCCTATCTGATCCTGCTTTGGACTCTGTCCCTTGCAGTCTCTCCTCCATGTGCTTCCATCTAGGAAGCTTACCTTCAGAAGTCTTATCTTCGAACCCTATGCAGCAGGTGAAAACTCCTCCAGAGTTTCCTGTACTTCTCTAGAAGTTTCTATACTCCTCCGGAAGGTTCCTGTGCTCATCCAGAAGTCCTCCAGCACTCCATCAGAGTAGCCAGTCTCCAGAAGTCCTTCGGACTTCATTGGATTTCATCTGGACTTCATTCTGAAATTAAGGGTATGTACTCGGGAAAGGTGCAAAATAAAATATACTGAACTACCAAGTGCTGAGCACTAAGTGTCAAGTGCCAAGTGCCGAGTTCCGAGTGCCGAGTTGCCCCGATGCTTTCGGATATTAACACCCAGATAGCCCACGCTCTCAGGGGCTCATCAGAATTTAGATCATCTTAAACGGATGTGATTTGAGTGAGATATGAGCAAAATACTATATACCAAGTGAATTTCACCATCAGAAGTTTGATGCTTTTGATGTTATTGATATCAAGCCTCGATGCCTTCAGGCATTGACATGCAGATAGCCCTAGATCTCACGGGTCTGGCAGAATTTAGCCCATCCCAAATGGATAAGAGTTGAGTGAGATATGAGCAAATCCCATATACTGTGTGTATTTCAGTATTGTAAGGTCAATGCTTTCCATGTTTGCAATGTCTAGCCTCAATGCATTCAGGCATTCACAAGCAGATAGAACTTGATCTCAGGGGCCTGTCACAATTCAGATCGTCTCACCACGGATAAGACTTGAGTGAGATATGAGCAAATATTACATATCGGGTGATTTTTGATGTCAGGCCTTGCACCAAGGGTAAGCACATAGCACAACAGGAATAAATCCTGTTGTCCTAGTATCCTTATATATTGCATATACTATTGAAGGGATGTTGGGGATCATATTTTGCCTCAAACAGACATGATTTGAGGGAGATATGAGCAAAATACAATTATTGGGTGTGTCTGAGCTTCGCAGGTTCAATGTTTTTGTTGTCAGCCTTGTGTGGGAAAAATTCTAAAACATCAGGAGAAACATAAAAACACATCATCAGGGACTGCATCAGGTTTGCTATGATCACACCTATGTATAATATGATAGATTGGCTTCCAATGTACTGTTCCAGTCCCTGAACAGTATCTGTCAGTGGTATGTATCTCTAAATACAAAAAAACTCGAAATTCAAGGCAATCACTGTGCACTGGTGCAAGAAAGTTACAATCACAAGATATATACATCAGCAAAATATGATTTTGCCACACGGTTACCAGAAGGTCACAAGCTTTGACAGTGCTTACTAGACTAAGGATATGATTGTCTTAACTCAATAGTCTTAACTTGCTAGGCATAATATAAGCTTCTTAATAACCATGACTGTCATATCTTCCATAATAATCCTAACCCTCACAGCTTATGTATTATGTAGTAATCAACAATCATATTAGACTATCAAGTGAAGACTATCGTGTAATGACTATCAAGTTAAGACTACTGTATTTTATTCTAAGTCTGTACAATAGACCTGTGATACTTGATGAGTGTCAGCCTGAACAGTATATTAAAGATCACACTATCATACTACACATAGGTATGACTATTGAAGACATGATGTAGTGCCTTATGATGTGTTTTTATGTGTCTCCTGATGTGTTGAGAATGTCCTACATTACCTCATATGTTCATGTGAGGCCATATGAATTCTGTGACACTCCTGACATTAAGGGCTATCCACATGTCAATGAACACAGTCATCTAGGCCCTCACATTGAAATCATTGAAAGCATCAAACTCCTGATGCGAAAATATGATCCAAATTCTGAAGGACCCCTGAGAGTGAAGGCTATCTGCATATCAATGCCTGAAAGCATTGAGGCCCGACATCAAAATCATTGAAAGCATTGAACTTCCAATGCTGAAATTCACCTGATATATAGTATTTTGCTCCTATCTCACTCAAATCACATCTGTTTGAGATAATCAAAATTCTGATGGGACCCCTGAGAGCAAGGACTATCTGGGTGGTAATGCCCGAAAGCATCGGGACACTCAGCACTCGGAAGGCACTTGGCACTTGGCACTCAGGCACTTGGTACTCAGCACTTGGTAGTCAGTATATGGGATTTTGCATATATCTCACTCAAATTATATCTGTTTCAGACAATCTGAATTTTACCACACCCCTGAGATCGAGGGCTATCTACATGTCAATACCCAAAAGCATTGAGACCCGACATCAAAAAACATCGAAAGCATTGAACTTCTGATGCCAAAATTCACCCGGTATATAGTATTTTGTTCATATCTCGCTCAAATCACATCCGTTTGAGATGATCTAAATTCTGACGGGCCCTTGAGAGTGAGGGCGATCTGGGTGTTAATACCCGAAGCATCGGGGCACTCGGCACTCGGCACTTGGCACTCGGCACTCGGAACTCGGAACTCGGCACTCGGCACTTGGCACTCGGAACTCAGAACTCAGAACTCGGCACTCAGCACTCGGTAGTCAGTATATACATAGTATTTTGCAAATATCTCACTCAAATTATATCTGTTTGAGACAATGTGAGTTCTGCCACACCCCTGAGATCAAGGGCTATCTACATATTAATGCTTGAAAGCATCAAGACCAGACATCAAAAACATCGAAAGCATTGAACTTCTGATGCCAAAATTCACCCGGTATATAGTATCCTGTTCATATCTCACTCAAATCACATCCGTTTGAGATGATCTAAATTCTGACGGGTCCCTGAGAGCGAGGGCGATCTGGGTGTTAATGCCCGAAAGCATCGGGGTACTTGGCACTCGGAACTCGGCACTCAGAACTTGGGCACTCGGAACTCGGCACTCGGAACTTGGCACTCGGAACTCGGCACTCGGAACTTGGCACTCGGAACTCGGCACTTGGAACTCGGTTCTCGGCACTTCGCACTCGGAACTCAGAACTCAGAACTCGGCACTCAGCACTCGGGTAGTCAGTATATACATAGTATTTTGCAAATATCTCACTCAAATTATATCTGTTTGAGACAATGTGAGTTCTGCCACACCCCTGAGATCAAGGGCTATCTACATATTAATGCTTGAAAGCATCAAGACCAGACATCAAAAACATCGAAAGCAGTGAACTTCTGATGCCAAAATTCACCCGGTATATAGTATGTTGTTCATATCTCACTCAAATCACATCTGTTTGAGATGATCTAAATTCTGACGGGCCCCTGAGAGCGAGGGCTTTTAATACCCGAAAGCATCGGGTCACTCGGCACTCGGAACTCGGTTCTCTGCACTTGGCACTTGGCACTCAGCACTCAGTAGTCAGTGTGTGGTATTTTGCATATATCTCACTCAAATTATATCTGTTTCAGACAATCTAAATTTTGCCACACCCCTGAGATCGAGGGCTATCTACATGTTAATGCCCGAAATCATCGAGACCCGACATCAAAAACATCGAAAGCATCAAACTTCCAATGCTGAAATTCACCCGGTATATAGTATTTTGCTCATATCTCACCCAAATCACATCCGTTTGAGGTGATCTAAATTCTGATGACCCCCTGAGAGCGAGGGCTATCTGTGTTTTAATACCCGGAAGCCTCAGGGCACTCGGCACTCGGCACTCGGAACTCGGAACTCGGCACTCGGCACTCGGCACTCGGCACTCGGCACTCGGCACTCGGCACTCGGCACTCAGTACTTGGTACTTGGTAGTCAGTACTCGGTGATTCGAGTCTCGAGACTCGAGACTTGTGATTCACAAGTCAAAATTTGAAACTAATGTGTAGTATCTTATGTATTTCTGTACTCATTTCACTGACTACCGAGTGCCGAATCTCGGGTCTTGGGTATCAGGTCTCGGTACTCGGTACTCGGTATTTCCAGATGACAAAAATGTATATCATCTTAAATTTGAATTTTCTTAACTCGTAAAAATGTATGACTTTCCAGTTGGGTTTTGAATTTTGAGTTTTGAGTCCCTTGAGTCCCGAGTCTGGGTGTTCAGGGCTTGGGTTTCAGGTTTCAGGTTTTGGGTTTTGGGTTTTAGTACTTGGTACTTGATATTACCCAATGTCGGCCCACCCGTCTATGTAAAATTCTGCACTTCGGCCCACCCGTCTATCTAATATGACCCCACGTCGGCCCACCTGTCTATGTAATAAATAATTCACCTCACCCTCGGCCCACCCGTCTATCTAATATTACCCCACATCGGCCAACCCATCTATGTAATAAATAATTCACCCCACCCTTGGCTCACCCGTCTATCTAATATTTCCCTACGTCGGCCCACCCGTCTATCTAATAAATATTTCACCACTCCCTCGGCCCATCCGTCTACAAAATAATACTGACACGTCGGCCCACCCGTCTATATAATACTATTTGCTATACATCTCTCCTCAGGTCTATAATATATGTTAATCCTACTCTACATATTACCCACATGGGCCCACCCATCTCCATAATAATATTTCTCCCGGCCCATCTGCTATCATTGATGATATATATAACATCAGCATAGATGGGCCCACCCGTCTCCATCGGAAATAATATTCCTCCCGGCCCACCCGTCAACATCGGGGATATACATAACATTGGCCCATAATCCGCTGGCCCGTATTACACGGGATATTATGTAGGTCGGGTGACCCGTATAATACGGGATTTGTCACTGAAGGGGCTCTCTGCCTAGCTGCTATACTCGCAGAATGCAAGAATGTTCGACCCTAAAGGGGACTGCTACTGAACACAGAACCAGATGAAAGAAAGACCCTTGTTGTGTGATGGATGCGCAAAAGCGTGAGATGAAAAGTGAAGTGAGCACGAAGCGCGAGAGAGCGCACTAAGGTAAGCGCGAGCGTGGGAACGTGAGCGCTAAGGCGCACGTTGTGCGGAAAATACCAGATAAGGAAACGGATAAGGAAGCGTATGTGCAAAGCGAGTGCTAATGCAGAGCAAGTGTTATAATGAGTGCAGATAAAGGTCTAGTATAGGCGGATAACGATAACCATTGGAAACACAAAGTGCGCCCAAGTGGTGACTACTACTTTAAAGTAAAACCCAATAGCGAGGGAAGTACAGCAAAGGGGAGTAATAATGATGGAGTAGTAAGTCAGCAAACTTTATACTATGGAAATCGCATCGGAAGTGGAAGGGATAGGAGCAATAAGCACTATGAATATGTAATGACATGTAATAGCACTGCAATGCTTGTTACAAACCACAAGGCAAGGGATATGACGTACCAATGAGGTGGGTGGACATAGAGGGACGTTCCTGGATGATAGGCGATGCAGGGCGCTTAAGCGCGAAGCGCAAGGTGCGTGTGTGGGAATGCTGCGCGTTGTGCGGGAAAGTACCGCGCCTATGGCGCGTTTCGCAGGAAAGCTGCGCGTTATGTGTAAAACGACTAGAGACATGATAGAAGTCGAATATAGCTGATGGTGCAAGTCGTGCATTGAAGGCCAATTGTCATGAGTTGTGAAAAGGTGCGAAATGTGCCCATATGTGCCTGCAGAAACGCGAGTCTCTACAACGGGATGGAATTCGCATTGAAAGATTGTTGGGTCGACGCGGAAAACCTGGATCATGAAGTGACGCTCCTCCGGGCAGTCGATGGCATTCCAAATGTGGTCAGTCTCAAAAAATATTGGGACATCCAGTATGCCGGACAAACAGATTGCACCAAGAGGATTCGCAAACACATCAGTGAAAGCCTTCTGGAAGCGCCAATATACTCCAATAAGGTTCACCATCACATGCTATTGACCCCTTGCGGGCTTCCGCTGACAACCTTCAAGTCCCTCCCTGAGCTAGTCAACATTTTTTGAGATCTTATCGTTGGTGAGTTTCTTTCGTGTTTGTTTAAGTTCTTTGTAATGACAGCTGCTACCAGCTCACGAAGCAATGGTCACCCAGCAGAACGTTCTACACGGCGACCTCAGTCCCAACAATTTAATCATCCATGACGGAAAGGGTTACTTCATCGACTTTGATCATGCCAAATTCCTCAAAAACAATGCAGCAGTCAATTCGCGTGGTACTGTAAGTTATATTTCAATACATTCTTCATGTATACATATCTCATATGCTTCAACCTTGAAGGGAACTGTACCCTATATTTCCTGCCGTCTTCTCAAGCTTATGGGAGACGTTCCGCGTCCATCCACGATCAACCACAGAGCCTCTGATGACCTAGAGTCTCTTTTTTACATCCTCCTCAAATTCACAACCACATACGAAGGACCCAGTGGTAAAACATCGGCCGAAGGAGTGCACCCTGTCAATGCCCCTAGGTGGCAGCAAGGCTTACCTGATGATGGATGGAGATGGTCTGGGGACTAGTGGATCGTTGAAGAAAGAATTTCTCACAGAGAAACATCTGCCCTATGAACCGACACCATATTTCAAAGCTTGTCGCCCCATCCTTGAGGAATGGCACAAGGCAATTGGGGATGCGCTGCACAACGAACATGACTTGTCTCACAAAGAAATCCTCAAGATTATGCAACAGGGTCTGGAGAGAATTCTAAGTATACCAGGTACCCCAACATCGCAAAGTGTTGCGTTTTTGCCAGCGACATCTGTCGCCACTCCTTCCCCTACTTCTCTTCCTCTCCCTGCGCGTCCTCATCACCCCCATTTCTCTCCCTCCTGCTTCTCTCCCACCCCCTCATAATGAAGCTATGGCCTAGGATGCTGGTGTTCAGCCCCGTCGTTCGAGGCGGCAAACGCAGATGCTGCCTCCTGACCTCCCATCTGTTACCCAGGGCGCAATTGCTCATTCAGCTTCTGGTTCCATGACATCACAATTCCATTCCTCTTCTCCTCCCCCCACTTCTGGCCCTATGGCCAAGGAGACTTGTCTTCGACCTCGTCACTCCGGGCAGAAGAACAAAATGATTCCTCCTCCACTCCCATCATTGCCATTTTTTGGCCCAAATGAACTTCCTGGCCCAGGTGCTGGCTCCATGACCGAGAAACTTCCTAGTAAGCCTCGTTGTTCTAAACGGAAGACTCAGAAGTAGGATTAATGGCACGTTTTACTGTGCAGACAATAATTTGCAAGGCAAGAAGCGCAGGCACACTTCTTTTGCTCATTATTAGCTATCTTATTCTACCTTAAACAAATACTGTATGCCATCGTTACTGCATGAACTAAGACCTCGATATCGGATATCAGTCATTCTTTGTCAAGTGCTCATTAGCTTATGTAATACATTTTAAGTATTACCCCAACTGATTTCCTTACAGCTTCGTTTTCTTCACTCGATGCCTCCCAGGAAAAGGGCCAGACAAGGTTCCCCAGGTGATAGCTCGAGGAAGGGAGCCAAGGTGGCACGGGCAGATGCTGACGCTACTCGATGAAGCTCACAGTCCACGCGAGGTATCGGTGGTCATGCTGCACAACTGCAAAAAACTGGCGAAACTCTAATGGCCCCAACAAGGCGCAAGAAGGCAGACAATCTCAATATCAGCAACTCTGAAGAAAATCCAATGGCTCCTTCACAACTCAAGAGATGCAAGGAAAAAGTTGCAGTATTTTTTTCAAATATTCAGTGAAAATACCCAACTAATAAACACTTGTCAGGCCAGCACTCCAAAGACTTCTGTTGAACCCGATTCTTCATGGCCAGAGAGCGAACAGCGCTCATCTCCACATAGCCCGCCCTTCAGATAGGTTTGGTTTCAAGCTGTCCCAGTCCCAGGCAACCCATCCCGTCGGTCACAATCACAAGGAAACCGGTAGTGACGTCGCAGAGCAGGATTTGGAAAATCATAGTGGATCGGGAGACTTGGATGATTTTGACGAGTGGGGGAAGAGTGCCAATGAACACGAGACGCAAGATGAAAGACGAGCAGCTGACGATGATTTCGGGGAGTACGACAATGGTCCAGCTTTGACTGATTCACCCCCAGGGGGTGATGGAATGAACTGATGGAAATTGACGAAAGCCAGTCTGGACGCAATGATAGGTGCACAGATACGATCCCTTATGATGTCCTTCAACACCATCAAGCAAAGAACGGACGTCGCAAGGCTCCTTCCCTGACCTGTTTATCAAGCGTGCACCATTGGTTAAACGAATCACGTATTTGCTAACTTTCTCTAGAACTCTCACGGCCACACTCTGACAAGTAACACCTTTGGTCGTTCGAAGTCTCCTCGCCAATATTCACCCAAACATGTAAGCTCTTACTTTTGAATCTGCTTGTTTCTGATTTGCTACGCTACAGATCCCTCGTTGTTGGTCCCCTGAGACACGTACTTCTTCCACTCACCTCAAGCCTCCCCAGCGTGCACCTCGAAAAGGGCCATCTGCAAAGGCTGGTTCTGCCCATGGGTAAGTTCAATGTTGATATTTACTCCCTTTGCTCGCTCAATGTCTCCACATTCAAGCAGGGGTCGTGATCCCACGTCCCGTGGACCATCTCGTCGATGCTCCCTGACTTGGTCAATGACTGTCTTTACTCGCTCAAGGTCTCCGCGTTCAAGCAGGGGTTGTGATCCCACATCCTGTCCATCTCGTCAACGCTCCCAAACTCGGTCAACGACTGTCTTTACTCACTCAAGGTCTCCGCGTTCAAGCAGGGGTCGTGATCACACTTTCCGCAGGACCGTCTCCTTCACAATACTCCCCAGCTCAGTCAACAACCATTTTCACTCGCTCAAGATCTCCACATCGGAGTACATCCCATGGATCATCTCCTGGACATTCCTCATTGCGGCCACCAGATAGGCGAGCCTCTCGATTCAATCACTCGCAGTCTCATACCCCTGTTCCAAGCTGTTCTCACTCGCATACTCGTAGTCCCACACCTGAATCAAGGAACAGAGACAAACCCATGAACAAGCAGACGAATCCTTCGAAACTTGGGTTTTATCCACCATGTTGGCAAGCATTTCTCCAGGCCGCCAAATTAGAAATGCGCTTGCAAGCTGTTCTGACTCATCCTGTCCCAGAGCATCAGCATGCGCTACAGCTCGCGCGAGAAGTCTTAGATGCAGTATTATGGAGTTACCATTCGAAGAAGATCAAAATGGAAAACGGTAAGTTTTAATTCACCAGTGTTGCTGTCATCTGATGCCCCTTGTCAAGGCTATTTCCCGCAGTATAGGGCACAGATGTCGCGCCTTGTGAGTCCTGAGTACTGACTGTGAACACGCTCACTGATTCATTGTGTCATATACCATATTCCTGGGTACAGATCCGAAGATCCGGATCTCAGATCCGATCCAGATCTGATGGACATATCCGTCGTCCGGTCCACAGATCCGATCTAATCCTTATTTCATGTCCTGTTCATATAACTCTAACTATCGTTCATCTCCTTTCAGCATTCCTGTACACCGGTATACCGGTTATCCTTTACTTCCGTTATGCTTACTGATCCGCTACACTTACTGATCCGCTTTAGCTTATACTTCATTCCCGGTTATGATTCGTTATCCATCCGACTTACCAATATGCTGTATACATACTTTGCTTATACTTCATACATAGCCTCGCATCCTTGCTTATTGATCATTCCGTTAGTTATCTGTAGTATATAAACCCTTGTACATGCGCTGTAGTAGATCAGTTCGAATATCATCTTAGATTGCACTCATTCTGTCAGGACTCTAAGTCCCTCCATTATCCGTCCAGACTCGAGTACAATACTCTTGTCTACTCCGAGACTTAGGATTGATTCCTATAGTCTATATATCCATCTCTGTCTTTGGACAGT